CACAGGGTCCTCAGGGTCACCTCCCCCGCCAGGCAGGAAGCTAGCCAGCCAGAAGACTGGCGCTCCCCGCCCGAGGCTCCCTGTGCACCGGAAGTCCTCCGTCCGGGGAACGACGAGGTCGGGAATGAGTCGCCGGTCCGAAGACCCCAAAAGACCGGCGCTCCCCGCCCGAGGCTCCCCGTGCACCGGGGGCCCACCCTCCGGGAGCCAGCAGGCAGGAAGCTAGCCAGCCAGAAGGCTGGCACTCCCCACCCGCAGCTCCCTGTGCGCCGGGGTTTCCCGGAAGGAGGGCTTAACCTCCCATGACTCTTCAGCTGGGCCCCACCTGCTAAATTTTCATTACTTCCCAACAATGCCATCAAATGACGATCTCATCAATGGGTTATTCCATTGGTAAAGGTGGAGAGCACTCATGATTCAATCATCTACCAGAAAGCCTCACTGCTAAACTCATGAGACTTTTGGGTACCTCTGACATCAAAATCACAGCTGTATGTGTTGGCCAGCTGTGAGGAGGCAGAGGATGTAATCAGGCAAGGCACTGCATATGCACCTGCAACAAGCACAGAGAGAGACAGAGATGAAGGCCCACAGGGCGGAGCCCTGGTGAGGTGGGGCCAAGGGACAGCAGAGATGGCCATGCCCTAGACCACACTGGAGCCCATGGGAGACACTGCAATTAGGAAGTCTCACTGCACTGTGAATGGGAACTTTTAAAGTAGCAACTTTAATCCCAGATTATAGCAGCCTTCTCCAAGAGACTGAAGAAAGCCTACATCACTTATATAATAGAGGACTTGGGTAAAATTAAAAGCACCTACAGATTCATAGATGAAGCCTGGTGGACAGAAGCTGACAAAGCAAGGACATAGAGTCTTTTTTTCTAAGCTAACCCAGGCCTTTGGCCATTGATATTATTTTTACTTGAACATTTAAATGACCTGCTTACACTTACAGAGCATATTAGGCAGCTTCTCATCTCTGAATCAAAATACCTGAGAGGATCAACTTGAAAGAGGACAGACATATTCAACTTATGGTGGCAGCAGTGTCAGTCCATGGGCTGATGAAGACCAGTATGAAGCAGCATTTAAATTAACCAATTGTCTTTCCATGTTTACCTGTGAGTCTGTCCAAGGCCTAGCCCCTTTGTCTGGAGATGGGCAGCCGACTGGTAGTAAGTGAACCTCTGTGAGTCACCAGTCCCGGCTGAAGCCTGTATTGGCCTGTGAAACCGTGATGCCTCAAAGGACAAGATAAGGCCACAGCTGAGGACGTCTGGCTCCAACCCCAGTTAAGTGAAAGGAGACTGCAGTTGCAGGCATCTCACTCCTACAATACATGTCACCCCGGAGATGAGACAGTCTCCTCATTAGCATCCTTTACTACCCGGGGAAGTCTTTGAACTGTCTCCCAAGATCCCTGTGTTTTCTTCAGTATCCCCCTCCTTCGCTTGAAAACCAAATAAATGTGGGCCTTCCAGAGAAGTGCTTTGTCTCAGCCCTCAGAGAATCTCATATTCTGTTAGAGGGCTTTGAACCTCCTGGAGCCCTAAAGTCTTCCCACCTGTCTCACTTATTTAAGCCTTCACCATCCACTCATTTGGGAGACTGTGGGCCTGATCAGTCCACAATAACTAAGTGATAAGACAAACATGATAATGGGCAACTGCTCCATCGCTTCTGGGCTGTGGCGAGGCAGAGCACCATGGCACTGAGAAGTGAGGGATGCCGGAGCAAAACTCCACCTTTCAAAGGCACCACCCAGTGCCCTAGGTCCCCCACCTAGGATCACCACTTAGTCTCCACCACCCTCAATGGCACCATCGGCTGGGACCATACTTTCAATGCATGAGCCTTTGGGGATATCTAAGACCCAAACCCTAACACAGGGACAGATGGAAGAGAAGATGGGACGCATGGCTTCCCACCCCCAGCAAGGAGTTCTCTGTCTCCCCATCACAGACCGCCTGCCACTCTCCAATCTCCAAGGAAGACGCCCATCCATCCCTCCACAGCAGGCACGAATGTTCTTTAGAATCAATTAAATGTCCCAGCACCCACACAGCAGGAAGGCAAGCTCCATCAGCAGGGTTTTGACCTGCATTAAAATTGCCAAGATAATAGCAGACCCATTTACATGTGGGTGTGCAAACACGTGCTCACACACACGCATGCATAACAGGTGTATATTGTAGTACTTAGCCACAGAGGTACTTGTGATCATGGAAACATTCCATTAGCTAAAGCTTCACTTTTGAGAAACAAAAGATCTTTTTTCCCTGCATGGTCCTGGAAGTAGTGACAGCAGGGACATACATCTCAGTGACAGTCCCCTGGAGTGCACTGATTCTGCTGGCAGAGTCCACCCAGGAGCAGCAGCACCCAGCCTGCTCACTCTCCCTGGGCTCCTCCGCACCCAGATCCAGTCCTCTGGCCTGCGGGCTCTCTCCCTTATGTCCCGTCACCACCTCATAGGCCCTGGGCCCTGGAGACCAAGTCTCTGAGCTAAGGACGGTGGTGGAGACTTGGCACCTGCACAACCCAGAAAAGATGTCAGGGTGGCAGCTGGGGAAGAGCCAGAGTCAGGTGTTCCACACCAGCTTGTCCACATCTTCATATATAAATGCTACCTCAGTACAACTCGTCATGACCTCACTGGCTGTGCAATATCCTGCATAAACTCTTAACACTTCTTTTAAGATGGATAATAGTGCAAAATATTCCATTAATTCATATTCGATCTATGTTCATGATTGTAACTCAGTCTGTGCTACTGGGAATGAGCAACTAATAATATCGGGTTTGCCCTTGGGGTTAGGTTTTTATAGCACTAAAACCATGGTCCTTTTCCTCCCAGGAGGTCGAGGTCTAGGCTAGGAGTTTTCTCACCCATGGAAAGCATATGAATCAGAAAAGCAGGCCAATTTCCCTTCCGCCACTGAGCACCCCAAAGAGAAGATTGTGTCTCCTAAGGATTGAAAATCTGATTTCACAGAAACAGTTTCTCTTCCTGGCAGGCTGCGCTCAGCAATGCACCCCATGGAAGTGCTGAGGTGGAGTGGAACAGCCCCCCGGGTACAGGAAAAGACCACATAGAAAGGACTTGGGCCCCTGGGTGGGGTGTGCAGGTCTCTCCAGGGAGGGGCAAAGAATAAATGTCTACCTCTGCAAAAAGCAGTGGCAAAGTCAAGAAGCTGAGGGAAGTGCCCCGTGCATTTCCAACCCAGGGCAGAGGCACTCGGAACAGTGAACCAGACAGCTGGATCCCAAGCAGTGGGCATGGTGACACACACCCTCCTCCTGACAAGCACGGTTGTAGTCAAATGCACAGACAGGAAGCGTGCTCTCAGGAAAGCTACCCGGGCACTGCTACTGGAGCATACAGCACAGTACCTGCCCCTAGCCAGTGCCCTGTGAGCTCCACCATAGAGAGAATGGGCACAAGGAGCAACGAGGGGGCCGGGAGACACAGGCACAAAGGTGCTCAGGAAACCCAGGGTCTCCTAGGCACAGAAATGGAGCTCCATGAGCAGAGGAAGTAGGGGGCTAGGCTCGGGCACAGAGCATTGTGAGAACACAGGCTGAGGAGCTGTGTGCGTGGTGCAGATACAACCACCCCAGACCGCGTGTGTGAGCAGACACTCATCATGACATAGCTTGCGCGTGTCCAGGTGCACAGCTGCATGCATTGGTAGGGGTCAGAACCCCTAGAGAAAAGAGAGAGGATGCGGGCCTCTCACACAGTGCATGTGCACACTCATGCACACACATGGACATCCACACACACATGTGCACCCACTTGAGCACCTTGCTATAAATAAGATGAACTGACGGAATGAATTATAGATGCACATGTAAATGCGTAAAGCAGAGCATGAAGAAACGTTCGCTTAGACACTGCATGGTGGTGATTTCAGGGCCTGGAACAGCAGCTGGTTTCACCTCCTTCTACATCTCCAGCACTGCCTGAATATTTAATAGTGCTCAAATGATATAGGAACACATATTTGCATAACTAGGAAAAACAAGCAGTTCCACCCTGAGGAAGCCTTGTCCCTGAATGCCACGGTTTGCAGGCCCTGGGGAGGTAACTCATGTCACACAGAGCCGGGTCATCACCTCACCAGCTGTCCCAGCTGCCCAGGAGTCGTTTCCGTCCACCTCCCTCCCCAGAGAACGGCCCAATGACGTCAACATCAGCACTCATCTAGAGCCCTGAAGCAGAAGTTCAGACCTGAGCAAACATAATTGCACGTGATAATGCTTCTCTCTGATCAAACCAAGCAGGACCACTGCAAAACCTGCCTCCCCGACCCCGTCCCGCTGTGCCCCTCCTTCCCTATTGACGTCAACCCTGGTAGCTCTGTGACGACCAAAGAAAACCTTCAGTCCCAGATTCCGTTTCCAGCGGAGCCTTGGTACCCCAACTTTTAAAGCCTTCTCGGCACCCTCAGCCCTTGCTAGTGACCTGTGTCTCCAGTCCCTGGAGTCAGTTACAGAGCAAAAAGTGCCCCTCGGAGCCCGCAGGCTAAGCCCTGACTCCCAGGGCCTCTGCTGGCCTGTGTTTGGAGACAGGGCCTTTAAACAGGTAACCAAGGCAATGTGAGGCCTGGGGGAGTGTGCCCAGCCCGGCCTGACCAGGTCCTCATGAACAGAGGGGACGCGGACACCCAGGGGGACGCAGGGAGGGGGACACAGGAAGAAGGACCGTGTGAGGACACAGAGGCCTCAGAGAAGCCCACCCTGAGGATAGCGTCACCTTTGCCTCCCGCCTGTGGAGCTGTGGGGAGTCGTTTCCAGGGGACCCCCATCCTGCCCGGGGCAGTGTTTGTCAGGCAGTCCGAGCCCACTCTGGATTCAGGGGTGCAGGCCAGGACTCATCCCCCCAAGACCCCCCTGAAGCCTGTCCTTGTTCTGCTCAAAAGCCACACCTCTGGTCCCCACTCCGGGGCTGTGACGCTAACCCAGCCCCTCAGCTGGACAGCGCGGCTACTCTACCTGCCGGCCCAGCCCTGATGCCTGCAGGTCCCCATCAGAGAGAGGTTTTCCCCCAACACGAACCCAACACTCCTGTGCCTGTGATGTCATGGAGGGCGGAACCTGAGCTCCATCAGCGTCCTGGCGCCTGTGTGACTCACTCCTCTGTAACTGGGCCACTGTCCCTCACGCCCGTGCTCTGCCAGCTGGCTGCTTCTCTGGCAATCGGGACTTCTTGCGCCTCTGCTGGAGCCGTTCCCTCCTGGCCGGCGGGGGGCTCTTTCCCTGCGCTGGGTCAAGGGGCTTCCCTCACAGTGTTCCCACATGGATGCGCCCAGCCCTCTACTCCTTCACCCTACTGCATTTCCTCCAAGCACCGACTTGTGTCTGAAGGGTGCTGGGTCAGGTCTGCACACTTGCTTTGTTTTTGCTTCCTGCTGCACCAGGCCCATGGCTGTGGGGTTGCGCTGGAGCTGGGTGCCAGGAGGTGGCAGCACGTGGCCAGCACTGTCCGGCAAGGCAAAGCCCTGGACCCCAGGGGACACTCCCCGCGTGCACCAGGGACTGACTGCCTTCGCTGTGGCCAGGGCAAGCAGCGCGTCTTCTGCAGACGAACAGCGGGGTCCTCACTGAGCAGGCTCCTAAGGAGGCCGTTTGTCTGTGAACTCCGTTCTTGCTTCATCTGAATTCTTTTATTTTTTCATCTACATTCTAAATACTGGCCACATGCAATCAGTTCAGATTATGCTTACGATCGCCATTACAACAAATGTTTTCTTTTTAGAAAGCATTGTGAAATAAATCAGACACACAGCTTCAACCTCGCATAATCTTTCTTTTATGAGAAATGCAAATTATAAATAATTTTTAAAAACTAAAATAAAGACAGGCAATAGCACACAGGGAGATAAATCTTTTGCAGATGGGAAGGGGATCTAGAGACAGAGGGAGGAACAAGAATAGAGACTGAAAATGTGTTGTGTGCATGTACCTACCCCCCAAATGAATGTCCTCATAGGTACCGCAAACATGGACCAACGTAACAAGGTTTTAAAAGAAGCACTGTCAGGAATAGCTCCGAGCCACCAGGAATTGTGTCTAAAAATTTCTTTTCGTTTAGTAAATAATGTAAGTGACGTTTCTATTCATTAAAAAGCAGGGTATAAATATAAACACATGCTGATCACCAAGAAGCCCCAGGCTACAGCCAACCTCACAGCGGGAGAAAGCCGGCACTCTGCTCCACTCCATGGGCGCAGGGGGAGGCGCAGCTCGTCTGAGACATTAGGGGGCATCTCTGAAAGCTGTAATTTCCCCAATAAAAAGATACAACTGCAGCTGGCTCACCATAAAGATTCACTGCGGGCTTGGAGGCGACACAACCACCATGTAAACGTGAGCTTATAAGCCAGAGCTGTTCCCCACTGGCTGGCCGCTCTATCCCGGATCCCCTACCTCCCCCCCATCCATGCAAGAAGCAGCTGACCCTTGGGTGAGCCTGGACAATGGGGATTCTGCTCCCTGCTCTGAAGCAGCCCTCACCGACATAAAACAACAGCCACCATTTGCTCTGTGCCTGCTTCCAGTCGGGAAAATACGTAATCACAGAAAGCGGGCTCAGCTCCAATCTTCTGAACCGCATCGAGAGAGACACAGCAGCTCAGCAACAAAGCCCGAGTCTTGTGTGTTTGTGTGTTCATCTCTTAGCTCCTCGCTTTCCTTTAGTGCCTGACTGTGTGCTGCCTCTCACAGAGACATCGCATTGGAGATGCAGTGCAAGGAAGGAGATACCAGCAACACTCTGGCTCTGAGCTTCCAAGGTGGACTCTGATCCAGGTAAAGAGGCACAGAACTGAGTTCGCACGACAGGTCTGCCCTGCACCCTGTGTTTCCCATCACTGAAGTTTACCCCGGGTCCCCATCTCCACCCGCACTTGTGACATCAAGCTATGGACTACTAGAAGAGATATTTACTGCGGCCCACTGTTTCAGAGGTTCAGCCCCTGGCTGGATGCTCCATTGGTTTAGGGCCTGGGGCTGCACAGTACACCATGGTGGGCAGAATGTGGAAGCAAAGCTGCTCATGGTGACTGGAAAGCAAAGAGAGAGAAAGGGTGGGAGTGTCCACGTCCCCTTGAAGCCCAAGCTCCCTGGACCTCACGTCCTCCCAGCAGGTCCCCACTCCTCAAAGTCCCTCCACCTCCCTTAGCACCAGGCTGGGACCGTACCTCCAACACGGGACCTCTAGGGACATTTACGATCCTGAACATTTCACACGTTGAAGGAATCCGGGACTGAGTGAAGAAGTCTGGCCCTATGGGCACACTGTCCCTGTCAGGGCATCACAAAGTGGGAAAGTCCTTGGGGAAACCACGGCAAGCCAGGGGCCCCCTGTGCACCTGCAGTGGAACACCAGGCCTGGAAGCTCGTTTTCTTCCCACTTGTTTTCTATGCCAGTGGCGTGCTGGGTGCGTCTCTCCAGCTCATTCCAAATGACAGCTTGCATAATGTCCACGTGACCCCGTAACATCAACAGCACACAGGGCTTAGTTTGTGCAATTTTCTTTAAAAGATAGCAGAGTCTTCTGAAGCAGCCCTTGCCCTGCTTTCCTCTGTGGACATAGTCACAGGAAGGGCCAAGAGAAGAAACTGCATTTGCGCTGCAGGGCGTGCAGGTGCTCGGAGGCGGACAGGGAGATGCGTCACCCCGCCTCTCACACCTGTCCTGCAGGGCTCGGAGCCGGAGCAGGAAGCACCTGCTCACCGTAGCCTCCTCACTGTGGGGGCTGCGCTGTGGGGGCAGGATGACTACTGGGGTCTCCGTATCCACCCGCCACGTGCCAAGAGTCACCACCCCCTGCTTGTGACAAGACACTGAGGTGCTGCCAGCAATGTGGCGGGGCTCTCGTCCAGGCCTGCGGGGTCCACGCACCTCGGCTTCTGCCCTTGCTGCCCTTGCTGTCCTGCTGAGTCTTCTCCCCTCCCCCACAGCGATGGCAGCATGTCCCCGCATCCTGTCCTCTCCGCAGAAGGCCTCTTCCGAGCTGGGGCTTCACCATCTGCAGGTGTGGGTGCTGGGAGGAGGGGGACACTCGTCTGTCTGAAGGAGGAAACCTGGGCATGGCGTTGTAGATAAAGCTGGGGGCTTGGAGGGGAGAGAAACGGGTACCAGGCCTGAGGGGCACGGGGTCCTCCTGGTGACGGCAAGGGACCCAGGCACCTTTGCCACCTCTGCCACAGACACGGCTCAAGAACTTCACCCTGAGGGCGACACTGGATGTAAATAACAACACGGCTTTGCTGGTTCAAAAGTTTTGGAGAGTTGTGTTTAACTTCAATCTTTACCTGTTCGGTTAGATAAAAATAAGGATGATTTCAACTAAACATATAACATCTAAAAATTCAGAATTCTGGACATCAAATCAGCATCAGCTTTCCCTGTTCCTGCGTCCTGAGGATTCCTGGCCCCAGCGTGGGAGCTTGCACAGCGCGGATGCAGACTGAGTCGCCGGGGAAGGCTTTGTTCATTGACGGGGTTCATGTTTGTTTCTTTTTGCTTTTAGTGTATGATGGAGAGGTGTGCATGGTTTTGAATGTGAAGCAACTGACGAATTTGATATGAAAATAACCATAAATAGGGGAAGACATGCATATTCATTAAATTAAAATATAAATACAGCTATATTAAAGGCCTGGCTTAGTTTGGCCAAAAACTGGCTGGGAGTGGGGGTGTGGAGGACTCTTTTGGTCACCTTTACAACAAAAGGGATCATAAGGTTTTACCGACTGTGTGTCAGCGAACCTGATGCTTTTAACACCCTCACTCACTGAGTCCTCGCAATGAAGCTAAGAGTCGGAGACATGGTGTTAAAATCACCACACTTTACAGATGAGCAAGTCAAGGCCCTGAAATGCTGGCTCCTGCCTTTGAAACAAGCGGAAGCCGGGCAGTCCAGCTCCAGGGCTGCTGGACCGACCATGGGACGACATCACCAAGACTCTGGCTGGGTGAGCATCCACCCAGGAGTGACCACTGTGACGCCGGTGACACACAAAGCCAGCAGGAGCAGTGCGCGTCATCGGCCATCCTGGCCCCTGCCCCAGCTGCCCTTTGTCAATACAGCACACTTGGGGGAAACCAATCCGGACCCAGGGCCGCTGTCTGTGGGAGAGGTGAGTCCATCTTCCTCCCAGCCAGAGGGAGAAAGCATACTGCCCGAACCCTGTCTCCTCACTCCTGGCCCCAGCCCTCTCCGAGTTCCAGAAAGCGATGCCCTGTGAATCCCCTGGAGGGATCTCAGCCACAAGCTCTCTCCCGCAGAGTATATGAGGACAATGACCCAATGGTCCCTGCCTTTTTCCCCTGAAAACAGTCCTCCCTCGGCATCAGTGTGGAGCTGGGGCCGTCCCCACGCACGGCACCCACAGCGGCAGGTGCCTGGTGTCAAAGGGCGCGGTGTGCACACGTCGCCGTCCATGTGCTACTTACACCTCAGAGTTCTCGGTGACCGTGACGCTTCTGTGGTCAAATGTGATGCAAGGAGCCCTAACACTGCAGCATTTACGGCTTAAGGAAGACATCAGATGTGTTCAGTACACTGGTAACTTCTTCCCCTACATATTTATTCCCTAGACTGGCAGTGAGGCTCCACACCCTCATCTGTAGAGGCTTAAAAACCTTTCTATCAGTTATCTAAATATTTTCAGAGTAAATTCTTCTAAATTCCCTCTAGAGGAGAATTTCAAATTCCTTTTATACCATAGAACATAGCTTATCTTTTATTTATTTTACTTAGCTTCTCAGACTGCTACCTCATGAAAAATCACAAAGTATAACTCCTCTGAATTTAGGAATAAGATTTCTTGTCACATATTAAACACTGGGAAAATTCGAGAGATACGATTCCAAAATGAGCACAAATGGAAAGGGTCGGTTATACTTTTAAGTAGGCCTCGCCCGTCATCCTGCGCGCCAAACAGCTACCCTGTTTTACGACACAACGTCGCCACCTAGTGCTTGGTAGAGAATCAGGCGTCCAAAGGCAGGAAGGGTCAGTCTGCTTTAACGCCTGT